TACTGAAGAATGGGAAGGTTCTTCAAACACTAGAATATTCATAATAAATTCATCGATATTCAGAATATTCAGGTGAATCGATTCTGCGGTTAAAAAAACATGAGGTGATCAGTACGAAATTGTTGATAGCACTTGAATTGCCTCAATCTATCACAAAATTCAGGGATACACAGCACCTGAAATTATACCGAAAGTGTTAAACTTTATTTTCAGTCTGCTTCTCCGTAGATTACGTATAATACGAATTCTCATCATCACAATGAATTTTTCTCTCCTCTGTTTAATTAAATAATCCGCCTTGCGTCGGTAAATTCCGACTTGGCCCCGGAGATGAAAGTGTAAACATCAATTCTGCATAAATCTTTTGTGCATAATTTACATCTAATTCTCTCCCTCTGTAAACCTACATAATCCCACGTACAATGAATATTAAAATTCTCTTCAGAGGAATTTATAACGGGCGCCTCAGCAAAAAGTTGCTTGCAGAAGACACTAGTTTTTTTTATATAATTTAATCACAAAAAACCGTTTTATGGAATTAGGAGAAAGTCTTTTTTTAATTGAGGTAAATCTTTGAGAAAAAATCCTAATAATTATTATTACATTATATTATATTACATTATCCTAAATATCTGTTCACATACTCTTTATATAAATTCATATATATATATACATATAATTTTATTATTATTAGAACGTGTGCTCCTTTTAATCGTTAAACATTAGAACAATACGAAATTACTACAAAAAAAAATATAATTATTTATGTGGCGCAAGATCTTTGCCAATTCCTTTGAAATTATTGTCAATCGGTTATCACGTGTCTCTGTAATTAATTTCTAAAATGAAATGTTAAACATGGATTAATGTTTTGAATTTCAGTGTATGCGGCATTCAGCACTTCCAGAGAGCCGGACACCGGCATTTAAACTTGTTTCAAAGTACATATTTCGTGGTGGTAACATTTTCTACAGTAGGATATGGCGATTTTGTTCCAGACATTTGGCCCTCACAACTCTACATGGTCTGCATGATATGTGTCGCGCTGATAGTACTACCAACACAGGTCAGCCATTCATCCTGATTAAACTGCTTGTAGCGAAATTTTACGGATTAAATAGACAACAGTGTGCTTTGCTCAGACAGATATAATCAAACTACCTCGGAAGATGAAAACAGAATTTCCTATTCCAAATAACCGAAAAAACGAAATGTGGAACGAAAAATTATTCAAATAATCAATCATTTGAATTATCATATTTTTATATTTATATAAATTTAATTTTCATGGAGAAAACAATTATATTACTCAAACAAAATGAAGAATTAATTATTCTTTGACACGAAAAAATAATAAAAATCGTTACTCGAGATTAAAATTTATTTATATGTAAATTTACGAGATTAAAAAGTAATTGATTAAAATAATTGTAATAATTGAAAGTTAATGAGGA